TATATTATAAAATATTGACCTTTAAATAGAGAATCTCTTCTGTTATTAAAAGCTTTTATTTTATGAAAATAATATCTCTCAACTTTATCTCTTAAAAATTAAGGAAAAAATCACCCCCAAAACTATATTGTTTCAATAAATTTTTATTGAAAAAAACTAAACTACCCTATTTTTAAAACATGCATTAAGATGATTTTTATCATTTTTACTCTTAATTTTTTGAAAATAAAACGGACAAACACTAACCCGTTATTTTATTTAAAAATTCTTATTTTACCATCTAGATAGTAAAATAAAACACACTTTTATTTTATAATATAGTAACATTTTACTGTTTTTTACTTGTAGCTGTTACTATTTCCATCGAAAAAAAAAACACTGTTTTTCTCATATCCGTCACCCATGGATGGTACCATTCACGAGATCTGTCTGTCCAAATTCATTGTACTTCTAATAAAACCAAATTCATAAGGCTGAAGCAGTATATAAGGACTTGAACTTATCACAAATTTATTATTAAAGTTTTAACTTTTTTTTGCTTAATTAAGATTATAAAGTTGCAAAACCCTCATGCGTGACTCGTGTAGTCACTGTATAAATGTTGTACCCACACTACTAGATTCAAACCCGTTGTTCGTGTTCCCTCCCCTTCCCCCAATTCCTCTAGTACAAAAGTTAAGATTATGAAGTTGTAGAAAATTTCAAATAAAGTTTCAGTTCCCTATCAAATTTATAAGACAAAATATTAAAAATATCATATTATAAAGTGAAAAGTTAAAACCTAACAATTTTAGGAAGTATGGAGTTAAATGTTGTTTTTTTCCTTTTTGTTTTTGTTTATGAGGAAATTTTTGCGGGATCACAACTAAAAATTATCGTGGCATGTATTTGGGCCTCAACTTTTTTTTTTTTTGTTTTTTTTTTTAACTCATGAATGGACCTACTATGATAAATATGTGCGACCGACACAAAAACTTTGTTATGGCAAAAAAAAATGATAATGATTAATTAACTTTTTAATGATTCATTTAAAGGATAATTAGTAAATCATTTCAAATAATTAAAATTAATTTTTAATAGAGTCCCACAAACATTTCCATATTAATAGAAAAAATATTTTAAGGAGTTTTTGGAGATTATTGAAAGTTATAAGGATATTAAAAGTTAAAATTAAAAGTTTAGGAACAATTTTTATAATTTAACTACTAAGATTTAATGATGTTAATAAATTATTTAATGACTCTATTGGTGGCTGTTTAATTGGATTTTATTTGAAAATTTTGACAACTCTAAGATCTTAATTAGTTAATTAAGCGTAATAAAACTTTAAAATTTTAATTGCAAATTTAATATTAGCTCAAAACCTTATGTATTACTTTAGCTAATTTATAATACTTTCCAAATTTTAATTTCGAGTTTGAAAAAAAGGCGCTAATTAATGCCGGCAAACTTATCCTCCCGCGCCAAAGTCACCAGCCACTCCCGCGCCCCTTAAATTACCCCAAATCCCAAGTTTCCATTCAACGCGCTGGCATTAATCGACAAAAAAATCCCCAAATCCATTCCCTGCGTTTTTTAAATTACCTAAACAAGGTCGGCGATCAAAGCATCCGACCAGAAACCCGGAAATGGTAGTAGTCCCCCTCGGCCCTGGCAAATTCTACGGTGGCAGCCTCCCTCGGCCGCGCTTCTACACCGACACCAAGTTCAACCCAGATCGCGTCGACCCACCACTTCCGGTGATGGATCCGCTGCTTTCTCGGGCTAATGAAGCCCACTGGTCCATGGGGGGACTCAGCTTCGAGCGCCTCCGCCTCCAGGATCGGATCGAAGGCAAAGTGGAAAAGCTTCGTCCACAGGTCGGGGAGCTTCGGGACAGTCCAGAAAAAGATTTGACCATCGATCGCTCTGGTAGTAAAAGCAAGAGGGCAGCCTCGGTTTCTCCACCCCCCTGCTCCTGTGGCAGTGAAGAGGAGGAGATTCCTTGCTTTGTTTGATTCTTACGATGAGAGTGATGATAGGAGAGATGGAGAATTTTTGAAGGAGAAAGTAAAAAAGGCTTTTAGTAGAGGTGCAGTGAGGAATCTGGGGGATGATTTTGAGATGGTGGCAGAGGAGAGTAGTGCAGTAAGAGAGAAGAGGAGCACCGGGGTTGGTGCCAATGTGATGAAGATTGTCGAGCAGATCACTGATGGGGTTGGATTTGCAGGGGAGAAGAGGGTCAAGAAGATCCTGAAGAACGGTAGGGGTGTGGTGCAGAGTGGGACTAGGACTTCTCCAAGATCGGCTACTGGGACTAGAACATCCCCAAGACTGGCCAAGTGTTGTTCAAGTTAGATCATGTTAACCCAACAGCAGGAAAGCTTTGTAAGTTGAATCCTTCCTATGAGAATTGCAAATGGGTTTAGAAGACAAAAAGGGGTTTGAGCTTTCCTTAAAAATTTCTCATTCTCTTTGCATTTTAGCTTTAGTATTTAAGTGAAATGCTTGTTCCCTCCGAGTTGATTTATTGCATTCCAACATCAGCTTGTAAATGGATAATGCTTCAATATAAATGAACAATTTTTGCTTCAATGTCTAAGGTCTTATTTAGCTGTAGTTGCTTTTTCTTATCTGAGCATTTAGATTATATATAATAACTATTAATAGTTAAATATCAACTATCAACATTCTAACTATTCTCTAATAACTAAACCAAGCAAGACCTGCATTAGGTTTGCGAAGTGCTTTCATGATGAAAAATCTTCGGCTGAGAGCTTCTAAATTCCTCCCAAGATACTTAGTAAATGACGTATCTGATCTAAACCACATTTATTTGGATTCAATGTTCTATACTGACATTCTATGAGTTATTACAAGTAGAAAAAAAAAAAAAAAGCAAACTGTGTAGTGAACTTGCAAGGTAACCCTATACATGCACGTTGCTTTTCCATGTAAACTAAGCTAAGGTATATAGCCACTTCTATTTGTATATAAGTGCGAAAAATGATAGAAAAACAGTGACGCTGCATCTCTGACAGAAACTAATCCAACTGAAAGACAAAATTGGCATCTGACCACGCAGGAGTAAATTTCACCGTCTCGGTGAGCACAGTTCTCTTAAGTTTCCACTTTGTTGAATCAGTCCCTTGATTCTAGCCAACCTGCATGATTGTTCTATCATCATTTTGTGAATTGATGGCCTTCCCCATGGTACAATAGCAAATTCATCAACATACTCTTCCATTCCTTCAACAAGGAACTGCCAGATGAAGGCACCTGCCCCAGCACAGTTTTTCTTTGCAGATTTGTACATGATGTCTAAAATAGTTTGGTACAGCCGATCTCGCTGGGATAGTTGAAAGTCCTTGTTCTGGTCTGACAATCCAAATTCGGTGAACATAACAGGCCTCTTCAATTCTGTGTCACCATCTTCAATGTGAGAGAACATCCACTTGGAGACAAATTTCAGTTTGTCTTCAAATTCTTGATCATGAAACCTACAACCAATATATATAGACAGACTAAATTTAGCTCAGAGTTTTAATGAAGAAAGTGAAGAACCCTACTACTAAAATCAAGAGCACAAATAGTTCATAACTTGAACTAGAATACAACGAAGGGAATTGGAAAACATCAAAGATTTTTTGTCATATAGAAATAGCCTTCAGATTTCAAGTAAAGCATAAAGGGGCAGGCTTTGTTTTTTAGTATTAAAATTTTCACTTAGTTGAGGTCAGTAATTTCATGCACGGTCGGCTAATAATGCTTACCAATGATCAGGATAGATATGAACAGAGGCAAAATCTATGTTTGTGCTTTTCGAATTGCGGATAAAATCAGATCCAAGGGTTGATGCCCATGCTTCTGGATTCATAGTTGATTTCTTGGGGCTTTTAGGACCGTAGAACCCTTCAAGACCCACAGTCAGTAGATGATTCTTGTCTATTGATCTCACAAAAGCTGACATTTCTTCTATCCAATCCTGCATTGCCATGCCAAACAATTAATTCACACTCAGAACAAATCAAAATATCTGGAGAACATAACTACTCCCATTTTGCACCCCGTGGAATATTTGATACTGTTATCTGCATATACCTAATTGTGATTAAGTAATTTGAAGCTTTGCCGCATTAAGGAGTTTTCTCACGTCAGGTTCTCCAAATAGAAAGCTTAAATTTTGCTTTGACTTTCTTAGTAGGAAAAGGTTCAGAAAATATTGAAAGTAGTTAGTTTGACTGACTGTTTGAAGTTGAGCTCTACTTTTCCTTGCTTATATGCATTTGCTCAAACAAAAGATCATAATTAAGATAATAACTCTACTGAAACTTGAAGGGGTTTAAAACAAAAGTTAACCCATTTCAAGGTCAAAAACAAGAGTCCTTCAGACATTTTCAAGAACTGCAGGAAATAAATGGTTAATGTTAAAGAGTTAGAAACTGATGCTTGTTCTATAGGAAAATTACAAGTCTAAAGAGTTCATAAGCTCACTTGAAGAGTATCACCAAAAGGATCAGACATGCAGCGGGGTTCATTCATTAGCTCCCATCCAAAGATTGTTGGGTCATTCCGATATTCAATTCCTGTGATGGTGTTCTTCCGAGTCAGGATAGCCTGAAAAAAGGGAATAGTTCAGCATAAAACCAATTCTATAACAGCATCAAAAGCAATCTCATGATAGTGCAGAAGTGGATCCATGCTTGGAAGAAATTTGATCACAACTTGAACTTGTATTTTAAACCCAAACATTTGGGACAATCTACCAATCAGCAACCATCTACAAACAAATACATGCACTTCTAAAGTTTGCACTAAAACAATATTTTTGAAAATGTCCTTCATATTAGAACAAAGACTACCTGAGGTTGGTTTTTTCTCATAATAAGCAGACATCTAGGTAACCATACAACACAGCAAGAAGAAAAAATTGAAAAATACATGACCCTACCACTAAAATTGAAAATGTTAACACAAGTAAATTCCCTCACTTCATCTTCAAAATTCTCCTACCTTTATTCTTATTCTGGAATAATTCATGATATTATCTGGATCTGTGGTCTGCCTGTCTGCAGAACTTCCAATATGTTTTCCTTCTCAGTTTACAAGTTCACATTTTTCCTGCATCTGGATTAGCCAAACCCTCTATTTGCACCTTGGACATTATAGTTTTCTGCAGTCAACAACCTCCATATTTTGAAACTCATAAAAACCCTGAATTACTGACTAAGTCAGGGTGCTAATAGAGGGATTGGTCATTAACTTTTGGATTTTTTACACAGGTTTCAAATTATGGAGGGTGTTGACCAAGAGTGAAAATTCTAGAGAGTGTTGACCGTGAATAACATTAATGTCCAAGGTACAAATAGGGGGTTTGGTCAATTTCTAGAATCCTGATTTTTTCTGCAGTACACAAAAGCTTTACCAGATGCAATAAAATACATGATTTTCTATTAATATTTTTTATGTAATCAAGATCTAACATTTTCATAGGGTCTCTGCTCATGCAAAAAAGAAACCACCAGTTATCCTTCATTTGTGTCTTTCAGCAAAAACAAAAACATAATAATAACAATAAATAAATAAATAATGGAGGAGAACACTTAATACAGTTCTTAATAGAACAGAACACACTTTTGGAAGACATTCATCCCATGTACTCTTACTCATCATTCTTCTACTATTTTTGGCAAGACTAATCTAAATTGTTAAATTTAAAAATGTATAAGAGACTAGAATGCATTTAATTGATACTTTTAGAGATCTCTTTTCCCTTCTCTCTTTTTTTTTTTTTTTTTCTTCTTCCTCAAAATCATTAGCAGAATTGAACTTAAGAAATACTTTTAGAATTAAGAAAGTGATATATTTTAAATGGAAAACCATGCAAGGTTGCCTGTCTATGATGAAAAGTGAAAGAAATGAGAAAATAAGAAACTTCTATTGAGTGTTTTGAGTTAAATTAAAAACCAACGCACTGAAAATTATGAAAGAGACATGAGGTTATGTAAAGTCCTCACCAAAAATTTAGGATTTCAACACAACAGTTGTGCTATTGATTGTGTAATCTACTAAATCTTGTAGATTTACCATGCAACAAGTGGCATTGTAGTGAGTTTATAGGAAAGCCTAAACCATGGCCCAAGAACTACCGATGAAGAATATCTCCCCTAATGATGATATATTAGCCAGTTTTCTTTCACAATCAATGCATTTATTATTTTGTTGTATAGACAAAGTGTACATGGCTTATGGGGGCCCTACTGAAATAATCGGACTTGTAAAGACAACATTTATAGGCTTGTGGTTGACACATCACACATGTCTAGAATCTAGAATGCTGTTAGCATGTTTAATGAAGATCTGTTTCTGCATAAAACAGTGTTTATCAACATAATTGACAAGCAAAAAACATTCTAGACACAAACCTTTATATATATGCTTCATGACACAGAAAAAGAAAACAGTCTGTTATCCAAATTTGGGAAGGGAGATCACTGAAAATTGGAACTAGATAGAGATCACTGAAAATCAGAACTAGATAGAAAACCAAATACCTTCACATAATTCTTGAAATATCTGCGGATTGATGGATCAAAGTAGAAGGAATCATTGGAGGAGCTCAAAGCAATGCTTTCTTCCCATGCCCATTTGACATACTGAGTCTTCCCACCATATGCTTGCAAATTATTTACCAAACAAAGAAGAAGCCTAATTCCATATTGCCTTGCTTCTGCAATGACATAATCTAAGGCCTGCCACACTACTCGTTGTTAAAAATACAGAACAATAAGTTGGGAAAACCTACTAGAATTCATTAGGTTAGATTGAAAACAAGAACTGGTAAAGCATTCTGGTAACTTTAAAGAGTTTTAACAAAAAAAAGGTTTGAAATTTTATACGGAAATGCAACTGGCTTGAAAGCCTTCAATACTAACTTCTTGCAGGCAAATAAGTCACCTTTCTGTGCATCTTTCCTCCGTAGTTCCCCAGTTCAATTTCAGATTCCCCATCATATAAATAACAAGGATACTCCTAATCAATCTTAGCATAGAGTACTTCAACTATTGTTTCAGAACCCATTCTTAAAACATGAATAATAAGATCTAAACAAACCCAACAAAGTTGAGAATTTAGAAGAATATATCTATCACCTCAGAGAGTGAAAGAACAATCTATCAGAGCTTAATTCAAGCACCCAATTGAGGGCTGAAACAAAATATAGGTTATTTATAGATTAATATAAGTTAGAGTATGAAAGTCATTTACCTTGAAGACTCGCTCATCAAATTGACCAGGGGAAATCTGCAGAGCATTGTAGCCTCCATCATTAAAGGCCCAGGTTCTACAAACAGTGAGACCCATCTTTGCTCCAGCTTGCAACATTGCACTGACCCTAGGTCTGGTATCTTCCTCCACAGACTGAACCATTAACCAGTAAGAGTTCCATCCATTAATATACAATACTTTCCCATCTAAAGTGAACTGAGTTCCATTCCTTTTCACAAAATCTAACTCCAGTTGCCTCGGAAAACTATTAAGCCCTAGGTCACCAAAAGACATGTAAATGAAAAGGACACAAGAAGCAAATCCAAGAATTGGAAATAATAGGCCATTTCCGGCTACCATCTTTTCCATATACAGTGTACCAACTGAAAACTGAAAATAGCCAAAATTGCAGCAAAAAGAAAGATCCCTCGACACACTTGTGCCCTATTTCAACAAAATCCAACAATCAAAAACACCCAATTTAGATTATATTACCCTAAACTGCCAATGTATAACACACCCAGATCCCAGTGACAGGACGACAAAGAAAAAGAAATGGCAAACCAACTCTCTCCTCTCAAAAGGAAGCCAGAAATCAACTTAAAAAACATAAAACTCCAACCCTCAATTAGGGAGCAGACCCAGCTCCCTCTTCACAAAGGGTAACCCGGAATGACTTAGAAAGACACGCAAATCTCCCAGTACCATCAATGAGGTTCAATCAATACAGATTTGTGAGGTTTATATCTAGGAGTTTGGGATTTTGGGACTCTTTTATAGAGGAAAGTGATGCCAGAAAAGAAAGAAACGTGCAGCTTACATGAACAAGATTGCAAAGCACACCTAACATATCTACCGTCAAAACCCAAAAATCAAAAAGTAGGGTTTCTCAAGATGCGTTGTGTGGTGCAATGTTGGTATCAACAGCAGCCCCGTTGCTTTAAGGCGTTAAACGAGATGATTCCGATCCATGCCCTACACCTGACTTGATTTCCCTCACTTTCCTTGGAATTCAATAAATACTGCTTAACCAAAGTCTATTCAAGAAAGACACCATGGTCCATGCTAGAAGCTCTGAAAGCGGCCTCTGTCTCCTTCAGAACAAACCTCAAATGTAAATAAAAATTAGAGAACCCATGAAAGGAAATAAAAGGAAATGCAATAAAGTGAAGAATCCCAGATCTACGTACTTGGATTGGTTTCTGTACCAGTGGATTATAGGTAGATTTTGTTTTGATTCTAAGATTATGGCATTATTATAGGAAACAAGTGAAAACTGAGAGTAGGTTTTTGGGATGTGAAAGCCAGACCCGAATATGCTCGAGTGACTATAAAGTTGTGCTCTCCCCTTTGCATACTTTTCTTGTTCTCTCCCCATACCCCTGTAGACCCGTCCCAGTTACATAAGGACATACTCTTCTTTTCACAACACTGTACATGAAGACAGAGAGAGAATGGTTTTTTTCCTGGTAATGGTACGTGTACATGTGAAAAAAAAAAAAAAAAGGAAAAAACAACCGTTTTGTATACAATTTCTAATAAAGTGAAAGAGGTCGTTAAACATATAAATTTTGAAAAAGTTTTAAAAAATTATTTCTCTAATTATAATTAGTGAATATGATCTCTTTTTATAGGCTATAGATTTACTAATTTATAATGCCAAAGTTAGTGGACAAATAAATTAAACAAAACATTCCTAATCATCAAATGAGAATATAAGCCATTAGACACACGCCTCTTTATTAATAATTAAAAAATTATATAGTTTACACAAAACGAATTGAATTGTATCATTTTTTAAATTAGATATAAAAAAATTTCCGTCAAAAAAATTAAATATAAAAATATAATGAAGGAACTATTCTTTTACTTTCTTTTCAAGAAAATGTTGCAATAATGGAGAATCAATTGGTTACAAGAGCAAAGAGATGACTAACAAACCCAGACTAACAGCTTTTATAATAAACTGAGGGCTTGTCTTGTTAGAGGTGAATTTATTAAGAAAGTATTGTATAAAATGTTGATAAATTTTATAATAAGGTTTTGCTAGGTTATTAAATTTTAAGTGTTGAATAAAAAATTGACATAAAAAAAATTAATAAGAAAGTTACTATGTTGATCTTATATAGGAGAAATTAAAGGAAAATTTTTCCTTTAAAAATTTTAGAAAGAAAAAAGTTTATTATATTACTCTGTTTCTTGGCGAAAGTGTTTCTGGGCAAATGCAACCAACCATATTGATTTTATAATGGGTTATATTGATCATCTTTTTAACTGGTTAATTTTCTTTTCAAAATTTGTGTCAGGAAATGAATAATCCTTGGCCAAGCCAAGCCATTTTTCATAACCAAACATGCTCATGCGAGACAGAATTGAGTTGGGATATATCACTTATTTTGCTGTAAAAAAAAAAAAAAAAAAACATGTATTTTTAATGATTTTCTCCTTCCAAATGTTCAACCCCTGTAAGAATAAATAAAAGAATATAATTAAACAAAAATGATATCTTAAAACCTGGGCATAACCCACTAAACAAATTAAAACTAACTCTAGACCAAAAACATAGAACATTAGGCACTCAAATAAATGTATATATTGTGTAAAGCTCATTGCAAATATGAGGAAGTACTAAACAAAAATGTAATCTTAAAACCTGAACATAACCCACAAAACAAAAGTAACTCTAGACCAAAAAATAGAACTTAAAAACCTAAAAGCCAAACAATCATATAACCAAACTAAAAAATAACCGGCCAGCAGGAAATTAACAAATCATAAATATTATTTTCAGATTGTATTGCATGCAGACTCAACTATAAAAGTATCTAAGTGCTTTTAATAAATAAAATTAATTAAAAATATTTTGATATATTCGTAATTCATATTGTATGTTTTTTTTTTTTTTTTCCTGCCAGTTGGAAGTGAAAAACTCATTCTTTTAACAAGTTTTGAGTATCAATATCATCGTGTGGTAAAGCAGAGGAGACCTTATTCCTCATTTTCTTCTCTTCACCACCCACCTGTTCCCGATCTCCGCCAACCTTCATCGCCTGTTATTGGCTAGATATGAAAAACCATAATATAAAAAAAGAAAAATTCACCATTAAAAAAAATTATGATGATAATTTGGCACCGTTTCTTCTATGAAGTTCTTCAATAACCAATAAGATTTCTTCCAGGTTCCATATCTCCCTCTTAATCTCTCAATAATTCTCAGCCCAAATTTCCCCTCAGTCACCCTAGGGGTTGGACTTTGAGCTGTTAAGGATAAGGATTATCAGAATGAAAAACAGATAGTTCTGAGGCATGATCTCACTCTCCTTAAAGATACAAAAATCCTCCAGATACAACAGAACTCAAACTCTCTCAAAAACTAAATGTAGAACTTTGACTTTGCATAAGAATTTATATTGATTAAAAAGACACTATTTGTAGGGATGTATTCCTCCAGAAAAATACTATTTCATAGAAGTACGTTTAGACTTCCAAAAGTTATCAAACATGTCTTTTCATATTAAATTAAAAAATCCAAAAATAAAAAAATAAATATTTTGGAAGTCAAGCCCCAAGTGCCCAAGTGTCCATCTTTGACTATATATAAAGGGCAAGGCCCAATTTATCTTGGGCTTCACTTTATTTATCTATTTGTTGATAACAAATAAGCCTTTATAAATTCCTTTAACTTCCCATATTTTCTTGACGTGAGACCTTAACATTTGCAAACTACTCAACATTCCCCCACTAGTTTGGAAATGTTAATTTAGTTCTACTCGACAAGAAATATGCTTAAAGAAGGTGTCTCTCGATTTAAACCTTTTATTAGTGTACATACGTCATATCTAATGAAGTTATTAGTGTCCAAGGATTAAACCATAACTTCTTATATTAGACATGAATGTATGACACACATAAGACTTGTCTATCTAATCCAAGAGGTTTAGAACCTTGTAGCACTATTATGGCCATGTGCTCATCCTGCTAATAATGGTCATTTACAAGAGAATCCAACATCCTCTTATGGAAGCGGCACCACTTCTATGACCATGTAGGTGGAGTTCTTTATGTCTCTGTTGCTATAGACATTTAATAATTATCAACTCCATTAAGAGTATACACTCATCCTCCAAACGCAACAGACAGCACTTGACTAAAGTAGGAATGGGTATCAAGTGTATCAAGTGCTAAACAAGCATATATAGTAACTTGTCCTTACCCATTAAACTTTGAATTTAGAAATGACTAAATAAAAGTTGGGTTCCCATTACCAATGCTTAATTTAAATATTTAAGCCCCATTCCTCTTGACATCCTTTCCACCACATCTCGTGGCAATGCTTTGGTGAGAGGATCAACTAGATTGTCTGTAGACTTTACATATATGATCGTTATAACCCCACTAGTGATCAACTCTCTAATATAAGTATGTCTAAGACTAATATGTCTAGATTTTCCATTATAAATATTGCCATATGCTCTAAACATTGTAGCCTCACTATCACAGTGCAAGGAAATGGCTAGCATAGGTTGTGGCCACAACTTTATATCAAGCAATAAATTTCTCAACCATTCTGCTTCCTTGCATGCTACTGCCAAAGCAATAAACTCATATTCCATTGTGGAGTGTGTGATGCAAGTTTGTTTCTTTGATGCCCAACTTATTGCACCTCCTCCAAGTGTAAAAATCCAACCTGAAGTAGATTTGTTATCACTCTTACTAGTTATCCAACTTGCATCAGTGTATCCCTCTAGAACCACTGGATAATCTGAGTAAACTAAACCAAGCTCCTTTTTCATTTTAAGATAACCAAGAACTCTTCTAATGGCTTTCCAATGTTCATGGCTGGGTTTACTTGTGTATCTTGATAATTTGCATATCACAAATGCTATGTCCGGCCTAGTGCAATGCATGGCATACATTAAACTCTCAATTGCACTAGCATATTCTAATTGAGCAACAACATGATCAGAGTTTAGAGTCAACTTCATACTAAGATCATATGGAGTAAGAGCTTCCTTTATATTGAGATGTTGGAATTTGTTCAACATCTTTTCTATATAATGTGATTCACTAAGTGCAAAGCCACAATCATGTCTCTTTACTTTAATTCCCAAAATAGTATCTACTTCATTCAAGTCTTTCATTTTAAAGATTGAAGTTGGATACTCTTTGGTCTCATTTATTCCCAACATGTTGGTACCAAATATCAACATGTCATCAACATAAAGACATACTATAACTCCATAATCCTTAGTAAACCTTGAACAGATACACTTATCTGCATCATTATGCTTAAACCCATTTGCCAAAATATGTGTGTCAAATTTTTGGTGCCACTACTTGGGATCTTGTTTTAGGCTATATAGTGACTTAACTAATTTACACACTTTTCTTTCATTTCCAGGAAGTATAAAACCTTCTGGTTGTTCCATATATACTTCCTCACTTAAGTCACCATTCAAGAATGTTGTTTTAACATCCATTTGATGCACTAATAGCTTATAAATTAAAGCCAATGCAAAGAGAACTCTTATAGATGTTATTCTTGCAACAGGAGCATATTGTCAAAATAATCTATTCCTTCCTTTTGAGTAAAACCTTTTGCAACCAACCTTGCTTTAAAGGTTTGTATTGTTCCATCTGTATTGTATTTTTCGTCTAAATACCCATTTACAACCAATTGGTTTAAAACCATACGAAAGATCCACTAAAATCCAAGTATTATTGGACATGATAGAGTCCATCTCATCATTCACAGCTTCTCTCCAAAAAGCTGCATCCCTTGAAGCCATTGCTTCTTGAAATGTTCTTGGATCTTCTTCAACATTTAATACCATGGGTATTTTTCGAATTATTTCAGTTCTAGTTGCTTCAACTAGGAAGACAATAGATTGAGAAGAAATAAAATCAAGATCAAGAGACTTTTCTCTCCTAATCCTTGTACTTCTTCTTGGTTCAATTGAACCATCATTCTCTTTTCTTTTCTCCTCATGAAGTGTACTTGTACTTCTACCATTATGATTTTCATTCATTGAATTATTCAAAGAATTTCCAAAATCAAACATAGTAGAAAATATTTAATAAACTTGTCTTCAAAGAACTCAACATGTACAGATTCTACTATAACATTGGACTCTAAATCTAGTAACCTATAGGCCTTAGAATTAATTGCATAACCAACAAATGCACTTCTAATGCCTCTAGGTCTTAGTTTTGTTCTTTGTGGATCTGGAACCTTATAAAAAGCAAGACACCCCCACACTTTGAGATAATTTAGATTT